AATGGAAGGTGGCCGGGTTGAGCGACACTGGAACTCTCACCACTTGCGTAAATTCTTTAGATAAAGTGTAATGAGTTCCCGGTCATTAATAAAACTTTATTCTTTTCAGAAAGATTGTTCGCATGCATCAACCGGTGATTCGTCACGTGACAATCTACCCGGTTAGATGTCCAATCGAATTGGACATCTAAAAAAAAAAGAGACCGGTCTGACCGATTCTATACCTCATCCGTACTGACACGGGAGTTAAAAACTATTTGGCTTAACTAATGGGAGAGCATCCTGGCCAGTTTAAGCCAGATGTTTGGAAGAAAAACTTAAGGTTTACCTTTCCACAAGGGCGTTAAGCCATTGTGAAAACAGGTCGGCCTTACGAGAGCCCGGGCACATGATTAACCTTTCGAAAAGGACAAGTCAATACGCCGTCAAGGGTCATACTAAACCGGGAGGAAGTTTATAGAACTTAAACTCATCCCGGCCGACTATCCAGTCTTTCGAAAAGACGTGGGTAAAATTTTATTATTCTAATCGGGTAAATACAGTCGGGCTGTTATTTACTAATCTAAACGGTTGAACAATTTATGAGATATGGGAAAAGTGCTCAGCACATAATATAGAAAAGATTTTCATTAATACTTCAATGTTTTACAAAAGTGCCCGGAGGCATATCATTACATCAGAAAATGAAAAAAAAAAGAGAGAAGAAGGCCGGGGATTTCAGATCCCAGGAAATGGAGGGACCGGCGCCTCGTCATGGAGCTCGGGCAGAGAAAGGACCTTGGGCTGGAAGCTTTGAACCCTTTGCGCAAGGATGCCATAGAGGGCCTTCCGCTCTGAGTACTGGCCGCTTTCGAACCCGTAGGTCCCAATCTCGTCCACCAGGCCGGCCGATACCGGATGCTTGTATAAACCCTGGAAGAAGCGGATGGCTGTCTCCCGGTCTGGCAAGGCCTCGGCAGCGAACTCTTCTGGCGCCTGAGCTGCCCAGGCAGCGGCAACGGCGGCCCGCTCCGACTGCTCTTTCTGCAGCTCATCGCTAAGCCGAGCGATCTCCTCAG